CCATTCAAAAATCACTATGTATAACTCACCAAATAAGTGTAAAACAGAGGAGAAAACCACARGATCATCTCAATTGATGTTGAAAAAATTAAACACATATTTATGATTTTAAAAACCTCTCAAAAAAACAATATGCCTGAGAGACCAACATATATAAAAAACCTAAGCCAACATCATATTTAATGACTCACAAACCTGTGCCCCTAGGATCACAAAGATGACAGATGCATGTCCTCACTACTTCTATTCAACACTGTACTGGAAATCATGACAAGGGTACCAAGAAAAAGAATCAAAAGGCATACATACTGATAAAGAAGTAAAAATCTTTTTATTTACAGATACAATAATCATGGAAATTCAAAGAATATATCAACAAGCTACTAAAACTAACAAACAGGAAGATCAAATGATACATGATCAATATATTTAAAAATCAATTATATAGAGTAGTAAAGATTAAAATTTTAAATTAAAAAAACCGTATTTATAATACCCTCAAAACCACAAAATACTTAGATTCAACAAAAATTTGCAAGACACAGAAAACTATAAAACAGCAGTGTCCCGTTTTCATTCCTGATACTGTAATTTGAAGTTTTTCTCATGATGATGTGAACTATGGTTCATCCAGTTGATTTCTGCAGAGAACTAGTACTTGCTGTTCTTGTTTGCCCATTTMATTCATTTCTATTATTTGCTATTTCCTTCCTTATACTTTGGATTTCATTACTCTTTTTCTCCTAGATCATCACTTGAAGTGTTTTAGAAAGCAGTGTTGTCTGAGATGTGATCTTCTTTTACAGAGCATAAGCTTTTGAGCTTTACCTATGTTGCTGTAGTCATCAGCATTCTACATGGTTTCTTATTTTATTTTTTACTTTTATGTTTTGGGTACTGGGGATTTGAACCCAGGGGCACTTTACCACTGAGCTACATCCCTGTTCTTTTTATTTTGAAAGCAGGGTCTTGCCAAGTAGCTGAGGGTCTCACTGAGCTGCAGAGACTGGCCTCGACCTTTTGATCCTCCTGCCTTAGGAGGATCAAAGTCCTGCTTCCCAAGTTGCTGGGATCATGGGTGTGTGCCATGCCCAGCTAGCATTTTTGCATCTTTTTAATGATGAGTTGTATTCTACTGTAGGAATGTATATTAATTTACTCACCTATTCACAAGGAAAAAACTGTTGTGTTGCTTCCACTTTGGGATCGTTATGCATAAAGCTGCTACAGACTTTTGTGCACACATCTCTGTGTGTTTTATTTCTCCTAGGTAAATATCTAGCAGTAGAATCACTAACTCACCTAGTAAGAGTATAAAGCTAACCATTTTGCAGGGGATAATTCTGAAGAGAAATCAACTTTTTTTCCACAAAGCTTCCCAGAGAAAAACATAGGAGAATGTATTTCCAACCTTGGGACAAGCAAATATTTCTTGGRCAGCACACGAAGAACACAAACCATTAAATTTTTCTGAAAAACTGCCCATCATTAAAGTTAAAATTTTCTCAACAAAAGAGCACTGAAAAATGGGCATAAGTTACAGAATAGGAGAGAACTTTCCCAGCTCACGTCTGACAGAGGACACATGCTCGTGTCACAGAGAGAACTGCCACAAAATAAGATCGAAAATGGCAAAAGACTTGGGTACTTCATAAGACAGACAAACGGCCCAGTCAATAGATGAAAGGACACTCAACATGATCTGGCACTAGGAAGCACGTGTGAAACTAAGGTAAGCCATGTCACACACACATGCTGAGAGGTGTGCAGAACAAATGAAACTTCTCACACGTGGATGGTCAGTGTACAGTACAACCACAGTGGAAAGTTTCTTCAAAAGTTGAATATACATCTTTCTATGACTCAGAAATTCCACTCTTAGGCGGAACTGAAGAAAAAGGAAAAATACAACCAAAAAGGCTTGCATGAGAATGCCCATGCATTCAAACAAACAAAACTATGGTAAGAAAAACCAGAAAGAAATGTAGGGTGGTACGAGGGGCAGCAACTGGTTACAGAGAGGCACAAGGAAACTGGGAGTCTTGGGAATGTTTTTCATCTTTACTGGGGTCATGGTGGCACTGGTATATACACTTTCAAACTTCCTTAAGCTGGACAGTTCAAATTAGCACATTTTACTGTTTGCAATTTTATACTATAGTAAAACTGATTTTAAAAGTAAAAAAAATTTTTTAAAAATCACTGTTATTTTTAATGTCTGTGTTTCCTTCAGCTGGGCCACTGAGCTGACCCAGTTTTTCAAGTTGTCCCACTAACATCCCAGAAGGCTCCATGGGAGGCCTGGGCCCATCCCCATGGTCCTGCTTGACCAGTACTTTCTTTTGTTTGGTAAGCTGATGGAGACTCCCCCAACAGTCCCTTTCTTTTCTCCATCACCAAATTCTGTTTCCATTTTTTTCTCTGAAGAGTGTATTTATTCCTAAGCTTGAAGAATCATTCCCAAAACAAATTCATGAAAATGGTACCAAGTGGCCAGGAGCCACACAAAGAGTTTTGAGCTGGAAACGCAGATGCAAATCTGCAGAGACCACTGAACGCCCATCTCACATGCATTCTTGAATTTTCAGATCCAGCTGCAGGTTCATGGCTGCAAATGAGCCAGTTTTACAACTGGCATGAAATTTTACTTAGGCATGAAGTTAAAGCTTCACTGCTTAGACATATCCCTAAGTATTTTTGTTGTTGTTGTTTGTTTGTTTTAGGAAGTCCATAGTTCCAAAGTTTTTTTTTTAAGAAAAACATGAAACTAGAGAAGTTTTAAAAGTTGACATACCTCTAATAACCAAAGGCAAGAGCCCCCACGGCTCTCTGATTCAATGGTCCTACAAAATCAGTTCCTACACAGTTTCGGACAGTTCAATGCAATGACAACGTCCCCAGTGTGTACTTACTACAAATATAAATGCTGAAGTAGTAAGTATTTATAGGCACCAAAATAAGTTATTTTTTTAATCTGATAAGATACTAAATACCAAAATATAACAATTATTTTCCATTTTCAAGAGTAATTATATGAACAACAAAGATGCTACCATATACACAATTTCAATAGTCCCAACATTCATGTGATTCAGTAAAAATAAGTTAAAAAGCTGGAGAGGAACATTTATCTGAAGGTTAAACTTCACAGAAACCCTATTATGTGACAGAAGCCTGGAAAAATCAACCATAAAGGACCACAAAGCAAAAGAACCCCCGACAGCTGCTCGGGATGCCCTGGAAAGGCCAGGGAGGAGCTTTCACCACCAACACCCAGGTCTAGGTTCTTGGTGAAAGGAAACAATCTTGACCACTCTAAGAACTACTTAAGACACAGTGCCAGGGGCTCTTAAGGGTGACCCTGAGTCACCGAGAAACCACCTGTGTGCTCAGCACCGAGCAGAACGTGGCAGAGCCCATGATGTCGGAGGAAGGCAGCAAGGGATGGGCAGTCTTCACCAGCTCCTCACCCAGAGGCTTGCCTCACTAAGAGGCCGCCTCTAAGAATGGGCCTGGGACTCTCCTCCTACATGCATGATGGGGTACCAGACCAAGTTCACACGCACGTCCCAGAACCCTCCGCACAGCCTCTACATAGAGAAAATGCAATTTAAACACTATTAAGCACATTCTGAAATTGGGATTTCTCTTGTTATTATAAAACACCTTCCACAGCAAATAACACACCTACACAGAGTCAGGGCCAGGCTCATTATCACCCACTTAAATTCTGTATTCTCTTCCGCATTTGTAGCTGTGACTCATTATTCCTAGTTCCTCACTCCCTTTCCATCCCCCAAATAAAATAACACCCTATGTTTCCAAGACAAAACTCCCTTCTTGTTTTTTTTTTTTTTCATTCTCTACCCACCTCAGCTCTAAATAACAATCTGAACTTTATATTTGCCAAATGATGCCAGAAAAATCTGTGGACTGCCTGCCCCCAAAATAGCCCTGGGCATCTAACCTCAACCAACCCCACTCCAAAAGGTCAGACCACTTCAGCCCCCACTAACTGCCATGTTCTATCAGCAACACTTCAAGAGGACAAACATCCCTTCCCCTCTTTACCACAATCCTTGGGGTAATTCTGTCCAACGCTTCTGACTTTGCAGTGAATATTTACTGACAATATTCACTTGAGGAACACCTGGCTTCCTTTGGATACTTCTTAATACTTCAGCTTCAGCTTAATCCTTAGGCAGCAAAAGTGAAAGGGGACCCAGCTGGTGAAATTCCTCCTCTGGTAGGATTTTTRCAAACATCTACGTGTTACTTTTCTTAGAGAAATCCTAAGAACTTAGACTTCAGAATTCTAGGACTCTCTGTGGTGAATTCCCCTTCTCCTTCCTCCTGCCACCCCACAGCAGCATGAGCTGACTGCCGCCTGCTCCAACCCCAGCACAGCGGGCTCTGAGTCTCCTGGGGCTGCACTGCAGCTGGAAGAGCCCCGGTCCTCCTCTCCTGCCTGGTCTGACACGGAGAGAGGTGGTGCCATGCAGGGGCAACCTGAAGAGTACACACTTACCACGGTTCTAATGAGGACAGCTGGCAAGCAGTGTCTCTGTGCACCAGGACCTGGGCCACGTGCTGTACACATGGTCTCCTCAATCCTACTGCTGTCCTATGGGATGCAGCCCATTTGATGCCTGCTCTGCAGATGAGGCTACAACATAACAAAGGCTATGCTGCTCCAAAGAGAGGCTCATAACTGAAACCCACACATCATTTCACAGCCCACACTCCACCATACAAAAGACTCAGTCAACGTTCATTTTAGTTGTTAAGTTTATACATGGTAAATGGAGTGTAAAATRCCTCAAGTTCACTTACTATGCTTTGACTACAAAGCACATGTCTTGCCTTCATATGGAATAGCAGCTAATGTCTTAACTTTAAAAACGCTAAAGGAGAAAGTTAAAGATTATAACCTTTAAACTTTTAAAAACTCGATGTTTGAAAATCATTTTATTACTGAAGTATGTAAGAATATTTATTACCTGGAATTACAGTTAGCTGAAAGCAATGAAGCTTGTTTGGATCAGGAAAATGCACTTTACAAGTACCTGCAAAAGAAACAGCACATCAGGAAAGTCTGGCGTAAGCAGCGGTCTGCACGCCAAAGGCAACCTGAGCAGGCAGCAAGTCCACAGTGCTGCTGATAACCCAAGATGCAAGACCCACCCTGCTGTGTGTTCCATAATTATGCCAACAGGCTCCAGCTGCAAACCAGGGGCTTTTACCATTCTTTTTCTCCTTATAGTTTTTTGAGTTAATTCCAAATTGATATTTTCCTTCAACTTTTAAATGATCACTAAACATAGCAATCTGACTGTTACTTTCAAGAATTACACTATTTTACTTTGAAGAAACAAGGGCTGGGGTGTAGCTTGGGGGTAGAGTCTTGCTGGCATGCTCAAGGCCCTGGGTTAAACCTCAACACAAGGAGGGGGACAAAAGGAAAAGGAGGAGGGGAGTAAGAGGAAGAAGAAAACACCCCTGGGGAGAGTGATGTATGTAGTGAGTAAAGGCTGGTAAACACGAAAAATCTAGGAAAACTATCAGGTCAAATTTCTAATCTGCTCCCCTAGCACACAGACATACAGGCCACTGTGGTGAAGAAGTTGAAAATAAGTGTGCTTCCTGAGAACTGGCTCCAACTGGAGTTTACCATGACATTTTAAAAAGAACATCTTCACAAACTAACTGGTGGCTCAGCTTGTTTTGTTGGTGAAATGATGCTCTGCCAACCTGGAGGGAACTTTCTGTGYTCAGTGGTCCCAAGCCAGAAGTGTCCTGGATCAGGACAAAGAACTTCCCCTGGGAACAGAGCCACTGCCTGCCGGTGCAGGTAAGGGGAGTTGGCTATAGTCCACACCTGCCTCTGTCACTCACACCAACACTACTGAAGTGGTGACCACTCATGGATAAACACCCAAGGAACCAGGAAAAAAGAAATTTTCTACACTTATCTATAAAATCTGAGAATGTTAAATTCTTTAGTTCACCTATTATTTCTTGCAAGTCACTGATAATACTTAGTTTTGCAATGATATCAATTTTCAACAAAAATAGGATAATTCAAATATAAAGTCAGAAATGGCCTTAGAGACCATTCTAGTCCAACATCCTTAATTAGGACAGAGAGTTTCCATGACTAGCCCAACATCACAGGTTATTAACAGAAGCAAGATTAGCTCCCAAATTAATAAGTACTTCATGACTCTCTTTCCCTATTATAGGCCTCACTTCCTTTTGGTATTTAGTGAAAGTCAGGACACTGAGAGATGACACACAGAAACTAATCAGGATTGCTGATGAGCTTTCTTCTAGAGTGAAAGACAGCTCAGCTTTGATGAGCTTAGAGCAGTCCTAGTGGAAACGTGCCATATTCCTTACCTTAGAAAGAAAGAAACTCGAGGTCAAAAAGTTTACAACTCTCCCCCAAATAACACATTCAGATCTGTGTACAGAATATTGAAAAAGGGCTTCATTTCCCTTAATCTTGAGAGTATAAATACCATCTTTCTTTGTGAGATATATGCAAGAAAAACAAATAAGGAAGSTGTAGGAAACAGTTCCATGATGAGCCAAGGCTGGCATCCTTTAGAATTAGCTGGAATTTCCCTCCTTTCACACGAACAAAGGTACAGATGTAGAAAGGAGTCCTCTGAAGAAGAAAGGCCACCAGGAATAAAGAAATTTGAAGTGGATTAAAAGATAATGAAATGATGGGGGACAGAAATTTTAAAGCTCAAGAAAGGATAAATTCTAAAAATCAAAAGGTTAAAAGTCAGGTTTTCTTTGAACTCAAKGCAGAAACTTCATTGAACTTTTCCTCTACATGCAAACATGGGCTACTCAAAATTCCAATATTTCATTCTATATGAAAGAGACACTTTCTACTTTTTGCAAACAGAGAAATCTCTATGAACTTGCATGTGCAGAGGTCCAAACTAGTTCTGAATAATTATGAAACAACACTGTCACAGGGCAAATTATTCTGTTTGCTTTTGTAAACATTTTGGAAAGATTATCAAACATAACGAACACTTAGTACTTAGAGTCTTCTTGGTTCCCTTTAAAACAAATGAGCTGCAGCAGGCTGTGATGGCACAGGCCTGTAATCCGGCTACCTGAGAGACTAAAGCAGGAGGTCCCCAAGTTTGAGAGCAGCCTCAGCAACACACCAAGATCCTGTCTCAAAATAAAAAAATAAAAAGGGCTGGAGATGTGGCTCAGTGAGAGACTGCTTATCTAGCATGTCCGATCTCCAGTACCATGCAAAAAGTCAGAGAGAAAGAGTAACAAGCTGCAGCCTTTGGACAACACGGCTTACCTTATAAACTAAYTTAAACATGCTGCCTCTGACAGGATGAGGGTAGGGAGGAAGAGCAAAAAGAAGAGGCATGTAGCAGGCTGTCTTTTACCAGCTATCTCAGACATSGGAATGCTTTTTTTAGTTATTTAGTTAAAATCCTAATTTAAAAAGAGGATGTAAAGTTTTGTTGTTTTGAAACAACACTCTGGTACAAACCACTAATCTATGTAAGATTCATGTTCAAGAATAAAACAAATGCTGGGCACAGTGGCACACGCCTATACTCTCAGCAGCTTGGGAGGGTTAGGCAAGAGGATGTCAAGTCAAAGGCCAGCCTCAGCAACTCAGCAAGGTCCTAAGCAATTTTAGCAAGGTTCAATCCCCAGTAAAAAAAATAAATAATAATAAAAAAAAATAAATCATTTGTAAGGGGAACTTTTTTGCAGTCTTGAATGAAAAGATGATGTGTATATGTTCAAGTCAGGGCCAGCGGCAAGAATGTTGGGAGTGGAAGTGGAAGGACTATAGCCTCTCTGTTTATTAGGAAAGTGACCTACACACGTGAAGGCAAAGGAGAGTAAAATGGACCCATCACTAAGCTTCAAAATTTTTTTTCCAGTTGTGCTTCATCTGTCCTACACCCACACAGTTATTTACTTGTTCTCCTGGCGCATTTTAAAGCACATCATTTCATCTATAAATACTTCAGTAGGTAGAAAGTTAACCTTTTAGTAGTATCCCAAGACAAAGCCTTCAGTTCTGAGTCGAACACTTGGAGGGCAAGCAATCCAGTGACTGAGACCCAAAGTAAAAATCATTTTATGTCATAACCACTCTTCTCATCTATCTATACGTTAAAAATAACTTTTAAACACTTAGTTTATGTACTTACCCTCATAAGCTAACCACTCAAGGACTGCAGCCCTCCAACTTCAGGTGGCAGGGAAAATGAGCCCTTTCCTAGCCATGTCAGTGGGCTTTCACATCAATACCCCAAGTTCTCTGCAGCACTCAGCCAAAACAGGAGACCAACTTACAAAATATTTCAATAGACATCCTTACTTACTTAAACTGTTTTAAAACAAGTGTGACAAAAAGCTGTAATTCAAAAAATAGTAAAATGGTCCAAGTTTTCAAACTTTAATATTATTATGGAAATATAAAAGGTTTGGGAGGCCAGGTGTGGTGGGGCATGTCTATAATCCCAGCAGCTCAAAAGGCTAAGGCAGGAGGATTGCAAGTTCCTGTAGAACCTCAGCAACTTAGTGAGGCCCTAAGGACTTAAAGAAACCCTATCTCAAAATAAAAGGTAAAAAGGCTTGGGGATGTAGCTCAGTGGTTAAGCACTGGGTTCAGTATCTGGTACCATAAATAAATAAATAAATAAAGGCTTGGGAAGGAATTGATAGAAGAAAAAAGGAAAACCTGACACACATTACACACATGCAGGGCGTGGTGAGTGGGCACTCCAAGGCAGGCCTGTGTGTCTGGGGAAGGAAAGACTGATCAAGGTGAAGACACTCGTGGACTAGAAGCAGTACAGAAGCCCTACCTCAAACACCAAGGCAGGTCACAGACAAGTACCTTCTGGACCCAAGTAGTGGTATTGTCACTAACAAACATAGGACTGTCAGTTATTGATTAAATTTTCACAAAGTAGACTRGACATGGGACAAAATACATGTGGAAGAGATCCAAAACCTAACTCTGGTACAGCTCTAGTACACCAAGAAAGCAGTCTGCTTGTGAGATGTTAACAAAGACTGCACACCTCTGTACTCTTAATAGGTCCTCTAGAAATTCTTGGACAAAATTAAAATTCATTTCTGACATACATGAAAAACAGCTTTTTTTGTTATGCAGGGTCATTAAACATAAAACAAGCATTCTTCATGCAATTATTTTAGAATACTTAATTTTGACTRGTGATGCTATACTTACAAGGTAAATTAGCTTCAAGGTCTGCAACCTCTGTAGAAACAAAGAGATTATGGTTAATGTTTGTCTTCAAAATGCACCAGTTCTAAATTAGCAATTTCTTCCAGAATACAAAAGAAAAAAAAAATACTGAAAACACTGAAACTGGGTCTAAAGTTTTATCTCAAGCTATTTAGTTTTCAGATATACAAGGTGACTTTCAGAATGCCAACAAATTTGGATAACGAGCCTTGAAAATTCACTTTAACATGAATGCAAATCATCTTAAATAAARAGAAATTACATGGTGACTGCAGTGTTTTTGAAAACTGTTCCACCGAGTCACAGAAGCAGTCCTCTTAAAATCTGATTGACACATACAGTGTGTTTACATCTTTTTTTCAGACCTGCCTCCTTGTAGCTTCTTGGTCTCAATCCTCTCCTGAGGCCTTCAACACCACAGTTCCTCTTCTATCAGTACATCACCAGGTGTGTAAGCTCAGTACCCTTCTGCAGAACAAAACTGCTTACCTCCTACCAGCCTGCTATGAAAGAGCTTAGAGGACAAACCTGTACAAGGCAACGTGCCCATGCTCAACACAGTACTGTGGAATCACTAGCAAGGACAATTACACAAGAAAAAGAAAGAAGAAACATCCAACTCAGAAAAGAAGTAAAATTATCCAGGTTCACATATGACATGATTCTTTTTTTTTTTTTTAGGTATCGGGGATTGAACTCAGGGGCACTCAACCACAGAGCCACATCCCCAGCCCTATTTTGTATATTTTATTTAGAGTCAGGGTCTCCCTGAGTTGCTTAGCGCCATGCTTTTGCTGAGGTTGGCTTTGAACTTGAGATCCTCCTTCCTCAGCCTCCCAAGCCAGTGGGATTACAGGTGTGTGCCACCACGCCTGGCACACATGATTCTTTATAGCACTTAAGGTCCTAAAGACTTCACAAAAAAATCTGTTAGAAATAATAAATGGATTTGGTATTGCAAGATACAAAACCAATAYACAAAAACCAGTTGTTTCCATGCACTAAAAATGAACCATCTGAAAAAGAAATCAAGAAAACAATCCCATTTAAGATAAAAAATAGTAAAATAAAGGAATTAAAAAAAATTCAATGGCATATTTATAGTGAATTTAACCAAGAAGTTGAAACATCTGTATAATGAAAACTACACAATATGAATGAGAGAAACTGAAGAAGCTACAAAGAAATAGAATGATACCCTGTGCTCATATACTGGAAAAATTAATATAGTTAAAATGTCCATACTAATCAAAGCAATCTATAGATTTGATGCAATCCCTATCAAAATTTCACTGGCAGGGCTGGGGTTGTGGCTCAGTGGTAGAAAACTTGCCTAGCATGGGTAAGGCACTGGGTTCAATCCTCAGCACCACATAAAAATAAATAAAATAAAGGTATTAAAAAAAAATTCAATGGCATTCCTTACAGAAATGGAAAACAATTCCAAAATTTGTCTGGAACCATAAAAAGATCCAAACAGCCAAAGCTATCCTAAGAAAGAAGAACATAAGTTGAAGGCATTATATTCTAATTTCAAATTTTAAAAAGTATAGTAATCAAATAGTATGATATGGCATAAAACCAGACATATAGACCAATAGAAAAAATAAAGAGTGTGAAAAATAAACCCAAGCACACAATTCATTTGCAAGGAGATCAAGACTATAGGGAGATGAAGGCCAACAAATGGTACTAGGAAGACCGGATATCCACAGGCATTAGAATGAAAGGGGACCTTCATAACCTACAATTGCACAAAACCCAACTCAAAATGGAATAAAGCCTTCAACAGAAGACCTGAAAACATGAAACTCCAAGGGAAAATATATAAGGGCATAAGTTCCTTGACTTGGCCTTAGCAATGAGTTTTTGTAAATCACATCAAAAGCTCAAGCACCAAAAACAAAAGAAGAAAAAAAAAAGAAAGAAAAGGAAAAAAAGAAAAAAAAAAACAGGCAAGATTACATTAAAGCAGAAAGCTTCTGAATGGCAAAAAAGGCAACCTACGACTAGGGGAAAACATTTTCAGATCATGTATCTGATAAGAAATTAGAAATAAGTATTGAAAATATCTAAGGAACCCATACAACATAACAGTGAAAAAAACAACCTGAGTCAAAGACGGGCAAAGGAGTCAGTTGTGGTGGTGCATCCCTATGATCCCAGCTACTCAGAAGGCTGAAGCAAGAGAATTACAAATTTTAGGCTAGCCTCAGCAATTTAGCAAGTCTGTGTCTCAAAACAAAAACCACAGAAAGGGCTGAGGATATAGCTCAGTGGAAGAATGCTCTAGGTTCAATCCTCTGTACTTAAAAAAAAATAGATGGGGGCAAAGGACACACACACACACACACACACACACACAGAGGAACATTATTCAGCCTTAATAAAGAAGAACCTGTCATTGAAGACAATATGGATAAACTTAAAGGACATTACGCCAAGTGAAATAAGTCTGACATAGAAATATACTACAGATAACACTAATATGTGGAATCTAAAATAGCTGAAGAGTTCAGAGAAACAAAGTAGAACAGTGGTGACCAGGACTGGGAGCAAGGAAAGGGCAGTGGGAAATGGGGAGATATTCATCAATAGGTACAAAGTTGCAGTTAGAATGAATAATGTGAGATCTAATGTGACCATGTGAGGAGATGGATATGTTAATTTGCTTGACTAGTCATCATTTCAATTATGGGTGTGTATGGGTGTGCGTGTGCATGTGCATGTGTATATGTGTGTGTGTGTATGTATATATATATATATATATATATACACATACATACATACATACATATACATACACACACGCACATGAAGGAATCATGCTTTGTAACTTAATAAATGAATTAATTACAAATCAAAAAAACTAGTCTGGTAGCTCACTGAATACCCTGCAATGAATGGGTCAAAAAGTAATCTCAATCTTTTTGCCTCAAGCAAAAAGTAAAATGGTCCTTGGCCAGGGAGATTCCTTCTGGTGTGTGTGTGTAGGGGGTACTGATGGAGGTTTTTGAGCTGGGATTCGAAGAATAAGTAGACTTTAATCCTACAGAGGTAGGGAAAAATGGATATTCCCAGCATACAAATCAGCAACGTACAAACGCCGATAGACCTGCAGCCAGAGCAAAAGTCCACATACAGCAGCAGAGTGACGGGAAACAAGGTAGAAGAGAGCCAAGATCGTGAAGGCAGCCCAAGAAGATTTCTCAACCAGAGTTTCTAAGCTTTGCCTCCAGAGGATAACTATACAAGAGCAAAGCTGAGGCCAGATGTCTTGTGTGCTGGGCAGCAGATACCCAGCCAAGATAGGAGGCCAGGGGCCAGAGAGCACACTGAACTACAGGTATGGCAACAGAAGGTGGGGTGACGGGTCAGAGATGGTACCAGTGCTTGACACAAAAGGGAAGCCCAGGATGAGAAACTTGAAAAGTCTCCAGCACAATCAGAGCCAGGGCAAGAAGCTGTGTCATAATGAGAATGCGTAAGGTCAACAAAGAGGGGTAGGGGGAGAACTTCAGCAGAAAGCAGACAGAGAGCAGGAAAAGTCATAGGTGAGAAATAGGCCAAAAGGCAGAAGACTCAAGAATGCAATGCTTCAGGGAAAGAGCACATGTGGCCCCAGGAAAGGCCATTGGAGACATCGCAAAGAGCTGGAATACAAGGGAGATGGAAAACGGAGGGCAAGGCAGGAAGAAATAAGTATATGGTCAAAATGCAGGGCAAAGGGCTGGGGCTGGGGCTCAGCAGTAGCATACTTGCCTGGCACATGTGAGGCGCTGGGTTCGTTTTTCAGCACCACTTATAAATAAATAAAAGTCCATCAACAACTAAAAAAAATAGTAAAAAAAAAAAAGTGCAGTGCAGCAGCAGGACTATTCCTCCAAGAAGGCAAGTGGGGAAGGGTCGCTGAGGCGAGTGGAAAGCAAGAGGCACACTGAGGCTCTGGGAGTGGGAGGCCCTGGGCCTGTGGCAGCAGCTGTGCAAGAATAACAGAGCCTGTGGATGGAGGCAAGTGACCATTCATGTACCTGCTCCAGGGCCCAGGAACCTGGGTGAGGCACCCAGAAAAATAGAGGGGGCAGAGGAGGAGCTAGGGTGAGGGAGAGTCCCACACACCGCCACGGATGTCACAGCCAATGCTTTGCCAGGGAGACCTTCTTGTCTGAGAAAAAGAGCAAAGCTCTTAGCAAGGCAGGTTGTGGGGCAAAGAAACCTACCAACTGACCACCCTCTGGCTGGGGCTGGGAAGGCAACCAATTCTGTCTAAGCCCGCCCTCTTGGCAGTTATGGAACATTCAAAGTATTCACTTAAAACAGCATGATGATAAGCTAAGAAAGACTCACTGCTGAGATGTTTATAGTGACCCAATTGACCTTGACCTTCAGTTGTCTTTCTGACCAGCTATTTTTGCCCTTCCTGGGGAGAAGTAAGGCAGGCAGAGGGCTGAGGAAGACAGCAAATGGATCATCCACACTAATCATTTTTAATTGTTTATCCATACAATTAAACTATGTTTCAAAGCAAATACTACATTATTATTTACATTTTTGTTAAGAATTAATAAGAAACTGTTCTCAAGGAACCTTCCTTTGAGAGACTGATGTTGACCACAGGAATCTATCTGGCTTTCTCTCACTTCACTCTGTGGCTGTGGCCCAAGCCACCTAGGCAGAGGGACAGTCTGTCTACAGTTATGATAATTCCTGTCATTTAGTTTTGCCTTTTGAAATTTAAAAACATACCCAGAAGGTATGAATTCTTAGTGAGGGACAATGTAACAAAAGTACAAGAGTGTATAGTCTAGTGCCAGGGATGGGGAAGAGGTGCACAGGAAAGGAGGACACTGACCAATGCTAAATATAGACTGTGACACAGTGCAGCAGGAGAAGCAGGAAGGAGCGGAGCAAACATCTCAACAGATGAGTAGCACCGTGGCCAGAATCCTTCCCTCCAGGGATGATAGCGCGGTCACTCCCAACAAAGGACACCATACCTCAAACAGGGATTC